TACCAGGTACTGTAATAGACATCAATAATAGACATCAATAATTAGTTATGAGTTTGGTGGAGGTTCTAGCTGCCCTTGACAGAAGCATGGTCCTCCTCTATCAGGGAAGGTTGTCCTCTTTGACCAAGTGCACAACTTTGGGAGGGACACCCACTTAGCCAGCCAGATCAGTTAAATCAACTCTGGCAATCAATGAGATGATAGAAATCGCAGTCAGACTGTCCTCACTTCTAGAGCCCTTCATGAAATACAAACATCACTCAAGAAAGAACTCAGAAAGACCTCACAAGGTTAAGAATGACTTCAGAATTGTTGGTATAATAAGCTAAAGGGATGAATGAAATTATCTGAGATGAAGAAGACTGTAGTTGGAGTAAGATTCAGAGGAAAGACCTAAGGTCAAGTTTTAGACATGTTAGATTTGAGGTGCTAAGTAGGTAGYTATATATACAGTATGAAGTTTGGAAGAATGATTTGGTTTAAATATAGAAATTTAGAAGTCATATTCTTATGATACTTCTGCAACCATGAAACTGAAAGAGATTACCAAGGGAGTGATCACTATTTAGTTCTTTAACTTCTTCATTTCCYTCTCTCCTTCCAATATAGTAAACTTCTACTTCATTTTCTACATCTTATTTTTGTCATTCATAACCAGCTACTGTCTTTCATAATCTTCACCCAATCTGTCAGCAAATATTATTGTACATTATTTCAAAATGTACAGAGAACATATGYACTTCTCACCACTTCTGCTATCATCTGAATGTCAATCATCATCATCATTCACTTGGATTGCTGCAATTAGTATAACGATCTCCCTCCTTCTCCCACTGCCTCCTATCTTCTATTGCTAACACAGCAAACAATAGGGTCCTTTTAACATGTACATCAGGCTCTTTAGCTCAAAACCCAGCTATGATTTCTGAGTTCACTCAGAATGAAAATCAACTCCTCATAATAGCCTCCCAGTAAGTTGATGGTGTCAAATATGGCAGCAAGGTTAAGTTGTTTAAGGATGAAAGAGTTCACTGGTTTTGACAATTGAGAGGTCACTGATTGAGAGAGTAATTTCAAAACCTGGGCAAGGATGAAAACCAATCTGTAAAGGACTGGGAGAAAGCAGGCAGTAAGAATTAGTGGTAAGTAGTTCTTCTGAGAAATTTGGCAATGAAAAGGAGGTGAGGTGGACTAGAGGTTCYAGGGAAAAGTAAGACAAAAAGTGGTTGCTATGCTTAGCTCTCAGGGAGTAAGGAATGGGGAGGTTGCAGCAGTAAGTCTGTAGCCCTCATTTAAGTCCATCTTAAATGAGGGCTACAGGTATAAAGGGAGACATTAAAATACTAGACATTCACATAATTTTATAAAGCTAAAAGACCTTATTCATTTACCTGCCACTTTCTGCCTCATTTTTAGAAGTGGAGTGATTATGACACACAATTACAACAATAGCCGGGGCCAAGAGTTCTCAGCAGCAGCCTGGGTGATGGAAACAGAATGAAGAAATGAAGGGTAGCTTAGGTAAGGATGGGACACAATGAATAAAGATAAGGAGACAATCAGACAAGTGGACTGTAAGGTAGTTTTGAATTTTTTCAGTGAGATAGGAAGTAAAGTCATCAGGTACAAGAATGTTCACAACATTTTTCTCATAAAAGCCAAACTGAAAATAGACAAGTTCCATGTGATATTGGGAATATATATATCAATCATCTTTATCCTATTTCTCAGCAGAATGTTCCTAAAACCCTTGTAATGTCGGGATAAAAGTGTCTTTTGCATGCTAATGAAATKACTGGTGGCTAGAGGTCCCTAGATAGCTTCAAGATGGGGGTTGCTCACCAAAAAAGCCAACTATGTGATTAGAGGATTGGAACTTCAAGCCCCATGCTGATCACCAATAGACAATGATGTAAATGATCATGCCTTTTCAAAAAACCAAAAGTACTGGATTCAGATCACTTTCCAGGCAGCTGAGCATGTGCAGGTACTGGGAAGGCAGTGCCCCCGGAACAGCACAAGTTTCCATGCCCCTTATCCCCTACCTTGTCCTATGCATTCATTACATTTTGCTGTTCATTTGTATCCTGGAAATATCCTTCATAATAAATGGATAAACATAAGTATTTTCCCTGAGTTCTATGAACTGGCAAATTAACTAAACCCAAGGAGGGTGTCATGGGAACCCCAATTAATATTTTCTTTCTTTTGTTTGTTTATTTAATTTTTGTGGGGGAGGTACTGGGGATGAAACTCAGGGCCTTATGCACATTAGGGAGTCCTAATTTGGAACAGGATGGTCAAAAGCCCAAGTCACAATCTGTGCTTGTGATTTGCACTTGAAGTGGGGGCAGTTTTGTGGGACAGAACCCTAAACTTGTAGAATCTGACACTACCACTAGGTAGATGGTGTTATAATTGAATTAGAGGGTGTCCAGCTAGTATCTGCTAAAGAATCAGCTACAGAATTGGGTTTTGAGGACACACATTTTGGTGACCAGGGATCTCAGAAATATTCTATATCATACTGAGAGTAAAGAATAAAAGAAATAGTTTGGTTTTCCTGTATCTCTTAAAATCTATAAATAGAAGAATAGATAAGCTACAGTATGCCCTCACAATGAAATACTATTCAGCAATGAAAAGGAACAAGCTGCCGGTATGTGTTACAAGGTAGATAAAATTCTAAACATAAACATCATGCTCTAAGAAGCTTTACACAAATGAGTCAGATATAAATTTAGAGATACAGAGAGAAAATTGAGTGTCTAAAGGAGAAATGTTCCTGTTAGAGTATGAATGGGTAGYTTGTGAACAACTTGTAAGCTAGACAAAAAAGCCTAAAGGATAGAAAGGGACCAAAATGTAAGAGAACCTAAACATCCCATAAATTACTTCTTAACTTTTCAGCTCTAAGTTTTCTAGAATGTAGCAAAGCAGGAACAAAAACCAAATAGAAAAAGACCATTAACCACATGAAGCTTCAGGCTAACACTGATCAGAATACAACCCTCTAATGTGTGATCAACCTATCTACCATGTGATCATCCAACAGAGCACACAACCACCAGATGTTGATATCAGCAGAAAGCAACAAACCAGACCAGACTGCAGTCTCGGGGAAGGCCAGGCCCTTTGCATCATATTAAACTGTTATGTACCCTAAAAAAACCCAACCTTATTCCCTGGTGGTGGGTATGTCTCAAGATTCCCTGCATTCTGTTCTGAGAATACCTATCTTCACCTTTCATTTTCTAATAAAGTTGTTTCTTTCTTCAGTAAAACCTGACTCTTTTCTAAACATGGTCAAGAGATTAGAAGGTCCAAGTACAGGTCTCCTCTGTCTCTGGAGAGACCTCTTCGTACCCGCTTCTGGTGACATGAAGATAACTGTGGTATTGCTTACATGAAGTTCTAAAAGTAAAAAACTAATTAGAACAAGTAGTTACTTCTGGGAGGCTGGAGCAGGATTGGCAGGGAAGAGAAAACGTTTGGGGATACTAGTAATATTCTCTTTCTTTATTGGGGTTTGGGTTACACAGACGTAGATATATGTCAAAATTCAGCTAAAGTACAGTTAAAATTTARTTGTCTATGAATTTTGCCTCAAAAAATACTGTAAAGAATCATCAAAATATAGTTAATTGGGCTGGGGATGTGGCTCAAGCGGTAGCGCGCTCGCCTGGCATGCSTGCGGCCCCGGTTCAATCCTCAGCACCACATACAAAGATGTTGTGTCCACCAAAAACTAAAAAATAAATATTAAAATTCTCTCTCGATTGTTCTCTCTCTCTCTCTTAAAAAAAAAAAATATATATATATATATATATAGTTAATTGTATTCATGATGAAGAATTTAGAGGAAAGTGTATTGATGTCTGCAATTTTTTATTTGTTCTTATTAGTTATACATTACAACAGAATGTATTTTGACATATTATACATATATGTAATATAACTTCCCATTCTTCTGGTTGTACATGATGTAGAATTACACTGGTTGTGTAATCATATATGCACACAGGAAAATAATGTCAATGCATCCAAAAAAATAAGAAACCAATTGAAGAACAGATGGATATATATGGGGAAAAACTGGTAGAATAAAATGTAAACGATAAAATCTACATGTGGGTATAGAGGACTTCACTTTAGATTTTTTTTCAACATTTTTGTGTGTTTACATTTTTTCATAATAAAATGTTGGGTGGGGGGAGAAAGCATTGTTTTGAGGTTAACAGAATATTATTTTTTACTTTTCCCCCTATTTTCTAAATTCACTATAATGTGCTCTATCTTATAAATTAAACAGTTTTAAAAGAAAACAAACCAATGGAATTTACTTAAATAATTTCAAGACAAGTTTCATATCCACTTTAAAGTCAATAAATTATTCACTATTTTTTAACTCACTATAATATAATTCAGCAAGTCACTGGTTTTGAACTGATTAAAAAATTTTAAAGATAATTAAATGTGCTATTAAAAAGTTATTTTTTTCTTTTAATGCCTTATATTAAACTTCTCTTGTATTCAAAAACCTCCTTGTATCACTCTGTGTTAAACTGTAAAGACACATTGTTTCTTAGATTCTGTAATAACTTACCAGGACAGTATTTCTTAGGAACTCTGAATTGGCTGTTTACTTTCAAAAGTGCTTTAACTTTAGAGAAGCATAAGATTATGCCAGGTGCTAGTCAATTGTGTCCTGTTAATTTCCAAAACAAACAGAAGAGAGTGCCATGCAAATTCCATTACACACACTTAACCATTAGAACCAGGGTTTATTAGCTTGACACTGATCCAGGAATAATGGTTTCATTCCTCAATGAAATAAAATAATGTGCCACATAACTGAGCAATGCGGAACTTCTAAAAAATGTTGTCATGTTATTAAACATAGTCATATTTTTCAATTTCCATTATGCCCAAACAAAGGTCATTTGCTGTAGAGAATTCACTATGGGCATGGAGAATTCTTACATGGGCTTCAAACTTACCTCATTGCTATATCATATGATTCTGGATGAATACAAGTCTGATCCAGAGGATTTGGCTTCAGTACAATATCCACTGTAGTTTTGCTCTTCTTTTTACCTTGCTTCTCACTTGTGACCTCTCCTGCTGAAGATTTTACAGCAACCCCTTGAATTTGGCTTGAAGATTCAGTTTGCTGACTATGGCAGTCATTTAAAACCCAGAATAAAACAAATTTTAAAAAGAGGAAAGGTTGGGCAGAAAAGAAAAGACACTTTAATTAAAGGCATGTTTATTTATCTGCCATAGAAATATACACAAACAGCAACCATTCACTTCACAGAAACTATCACTTATGTGTTTAAACCATTGTTAATAGATCTTTCTGTTAATTAAAGCCAAAAACATTCTTAACTGATTCGGTCTGTGCAATTGGCATTCTACGAGAGAACAGAAAAATGCAAATAATATGATGATGATTTCTCAGTTGAAGAAAATCCCAAGTTTTCAAAAGAACCTAGTGAGTACAGAATAAGATGAATGGAAAAAAGACTCACACCTGACATAAATAATTTTTTAAAAACCTAAAAATCTTTCAAGAGAGTAAAATGACAAATTGCAGGCACCTTTCACTTTTTATTTCTTTAAAAAAACTATTGGACTTTTTGAATAGAGTGTTCAAAAAACATAAAACAAATAGAGAATTATTTTATCATCAATTTTATTTCTGCCTTCAAGATTTTGTGATCTACTTGGAACTTCCACCACTCCATTGTTCTGCAAGACTTACCCAYGTTCTGGTACTTAAAACAGTTTCTCTTTTTACATTTAATCCATTTGGAATTTGAGWATAACAAGTAAAGTGGGACTACAGCATCCTTCACACATATCAAACTTTTGATAGTTGTCATAAATGCCATTGATGGATAATTTATCAACTTTTCCCCAGTTTTTGAATTGTTACTTTTATTATAAACTAAGTTCCAACTACATTTTGGTGGATTTCAGACTCTATTCTGTTTTATTTATTCTATATCAAAACCACATTTAAATCATTAGTATGTTTGTTATTAAGCTTTACAATATATCCTACTATCTTGTGGGGCTGCTTTCCCTTTAGTCTTTTCTAGAATAAAGATTATTTTTTCATATAACCTTTATTATAATTCTGTCAAGAGAAAAAATACATGTCAATAAGTTAAGTAATCCCACAGGAGCAGATACATAAAAGCTATTTTTTTTCATAATTATAAAATGCTAAGAAGTTTATCTAATTTCTTTGCTTTTGTGCTACCAGGATTAGAAAGTAAGAATTTAGGAGGAGAGGCTGGGGTTGTGGCTCAGTGGTAGAGCACGTTCCCAATACATGTGAGGACCTGGGTGTGATCCTCATCACCACATAATTAATAAATAATTAAGATTAAAAAAAAAAAGAATTTAGGGGGAATGCCAGGGAGTGATACTGGCCAAATTATATTGTTATATTGTGTACACGTATGAATATGTAACACAAATTCCATCATTATGTATAATTATAATGCACCAATAAAAATGTAGAAAAAAGAAAGTAAGAATTTAATTTAATCTACATAATTGATAACTAATGCTAAGGGAGGAGTTATCAGCATGAAGTAGTCAGTGCTAAATCATATTTGACACCTCATCTCAGACCATTTCTTCCTACTACACTACACTCTAATCATGCTAGCCTTCATGTTGTTTCTCAAATATACCAAAGTTGGTTCTACCTTAAAATTTTGCACACTCACTATTTKCTTTCTTTCTGATCCTTGTGGCCCCTTTGTTTCATGTAAAACTCTACTGAAGTAACTTTTAAATAAATAACTCATCTAAAGCATTTGCCCTGCTCTCCAACACAATGTCACATCTTTCTGTTTTAATTTTTATAGCACTTATGTACTATCTGAAGCTATTTATTTTACTAGTTGATTATATTTTTCAAACTTCATGATTCCATGAGAACAGGGAATTTGCTGACTTCATAATTGCTGCATTCCCAGTGCCTAGCAAAAAACAGACACTCGACACATACTGAATGAAGGCATAAACAAGGGGCATCTAGAATTTATGTCAGTCATAGGCTGAGTAACCATCAAAAGAGAGAAGGAAGAAAATAGTATGAGAAATACACTTTTATAATCACCTGCAAAATGTTCGAATATAATCCTGGTTAATTCTGATGAAACCAGCACACTGTTGGAAGGATTTTGGACCCAGCCCTTTCACTTTCTTCAGCTGTTCTCKGTTGATAAAGGGTCCATTTTTCTCTCGACATTCAATAATATTTTTGGCTCTGTTGGCATTGAGTCCGGCAATGTGCCTAAAAAATAAATAAGTGGACAAAATGAATAAACTGGGAAAAAGTTCTCATCTAAAAAGATAATGATATAAAACATCTGGTCATAAAATCAATTGCAAGTACATATTATATGACAAAAGTTAATACAAAAGGGTATTAAATCAAAAGGGCAAACAGGAAATAAGGACAACAGAATGCAAAAATAATGACAAAACCAGATGCTGTCAAAGAGGCTGGTAAGTGGTCAACACTGATTCAAGGGGAAAAAAAATTCTTTATAATAATTCTCAAATTCATCGTATTTCTGAATCAAGAGAAAACTCTATTTCTATTTAGTTTAAAATGACAGTTAGCAGTAGAAGTTTCAATAGCTATGATTATGTTGTACCATCCTTTTGTGGTGGTGGTGGGGATCTGTCTGTTTTCATTAAAGAGAACCACAGAAGGATACTTATCCATGAATGTTGACATTAGAATGAGAACAATTTCATTAGGTAGTTTGCTTGGTGTCAACTAAAACATTATTTTAGAGAATCTCAATTCTATTATGGAATTCCATATTTGGAATTATGTAATGTTTGTAGCCATGGCAGACAAGCAATACCTTAAAACATAAAGGATATTTTCCACTGTACCAGTTTCAGTAAAAAAGGTCCAGATCAGGGAATTTCATACTGCAATAGCATACTGTGCAATAAATACAAGACTACAAACAGAAAAAGCAGCTCTTCTGCAACCACAGGTAAAAAAAAAGGACAGTATGTAAGATAAATCAGTATGATGAAAATTTTGTTAGGTGACATGTGGAATCAGGGTAAAAATATGGTGACCAGACGTTGGAATTTCAGAATTTTATCTTTTGGTTGATGCCAACTATGATCRATGCATGCAAGAGAATGAACTAGTGAAAAATACCTACTCTCATGTGGGAAACAGCTCTTTTACATGTTAACTTTATTTAAATTCTATTAGAGACACTAATGCACTCAATGGTTGCCATATGCTTTTCACTTTAAATTTGCAATATTAAAAATGATAATGTGAATTGTTATAATTATTTCCTTAAATGACATCTTTCTCTCTGATTATCTAAAGCAAYGTATAATCCATAGATTTTCTACACTTGACAACTTTACACATGTCTCTTGTTCTGCTGGAGTTTGGACTAGATAGCCAATTATATTCAAGATTCTATGATCTTCAGTTACAGATTTCTGTCTCACCTTAGCAAAACTTCTGAACAGATGTTAATATCCACTCCCACAAAGCTGACACATTCTTCTACAACACTGTCCAGTGTGGCCTTGAGTAATGTCTGAGATACATCATGCTGAGAAGACAAAATCAAATATCAATCAAAAGCAAAGGAGATGCAGCTCTTGGACTATTCTGTTATTCTGCCTATACTCCTGGTAGATATCTAACACACGTCACAGAGAATTTCTTCATTCCTCTTAAATACACCTATCAGATTTAACAGACCTGAACTTAATGAATCTGTATGTTCTGATACACTAAGATACTCATACACCTGATTTGAACATAAGAATACCAATATTTTTTCTTTGTCTGAAATTCTACCTAGAGTAGTCATTCTCAAACCATAGCCTGCATCAAAATCACTTGTAGGGATTGTTAAAATACAAATTTTTTATACTCAGTGTTCCATTCTTCTGGATCATTCCTTTACTCAAAGACATAGGTGTCAAAGTTTTCTACGCAGTATAGTTATGCTCTCAAGACTCTTGGTAACGCAGCATTTCCAAACAGAACCGTCCTCTATTATCTCTGAGATTTTCTTTTAAGCTTTAGATGGTCATTCTTGGAAGCTACCTTAATCTTAACAGAAGATATCAACAGAAGAGATTTTAGAATACTTCAAAACTCCTATTTCTTCCTCAAATGGTTACTGTTCAATGGCTTGTTAACTAAAACAGTGAAGGGCCTGCAGTTCAGTCATGTCTCTAGGATTAACAACCAAGTTCATGAAGACACGATACCATAATTAACCACAGGGCCAACAATAATCATAGGGCAGCATTTATTTTAATATGCTTCCTGATTTCAGAGTGTTAAAAGGTGAGAAAATATTCATCTTACAATTGAAGAAATACACTATCTAAAAGTAAGTATTGCTTGGCTAAACAAACCTGTTACTACAATTAATATACTTGATATTATTGAAGATTCTAATTTTCTGATTGTTCTCCTGGTTATGAACTGTAGGTCAACGTATTTCTCCAAATGTCTTAAGTAAGTATGAAAAACAATATAGTATAGTTCCCATACATCACAATTACATTTACCATTTAATAACAGAAGTTTATGCTCCAGAAGACTGAGAATRCAGAAGTGCTTCTGTATTTAAGAGATAACCTTGTAACTATCCAGGCCAGAGCTAAAATTTTTGGATATAATTTTAAAATGTAATAAGCAAACATCATGATGAAAAAGAATAGAATGAACCTCATTCTGAGACCTCATTACTACTGAGCCATACCTTTTAAGAAGCTAAACAGTGAACTGGAGATACAGCTCAGTGATAAGAGAGTTTGCCTAGCAAGCATGCATGAGCCCTGGGCTCTATCCCTAGTACAAAAAAAAAAAAAAAAAAAAAAAAAAAAAAAAACCCAAAAAACAAAAAAAAAAAAAAAAAAAAAACCTACATA